ATCCTATCACACCGCTCAAAACTTGATTACCTGAGGGGCTGGTTAGGCCTGCCATTTGCTGTCAAACAAATCGATGGGCTAGCTTTATCGCAACCATGGCCAAACTGCTACTAAGCAAGCAAGTAACCCTGGCGGGTAGTCATGACAGGGAACTGCGCCCCATGCCAGCGTAATGTTCGTGATCAGTCGTTCGCGTTTTCGGTCGCAGGGTGTTTGTTCAGAGTTTGGTTAAGGCTGCTTTGGATGCTCTCGGGGTCAAACGCCACAAAACTGACCAGTGATGGCTTGCACCGAGAACACGAGATTGGATGCACTTTCCAACTTTTGCCACTTTTGCCAGCGTCAAAAGTTAAGGGTTCATATAAAGGCAGACGTCCACCGTGTATCCAATGGGGGCCACCTGCCTCACCTACCACCCTCATGTGGACAGCGGAGGCTGTGCCACTTTCTTTCGTGTGCTGTTTTGTGTTCATGGGCGAGTTAGAAAAATAAGCATAATAATTTCGTTTTTGTGCCAGATGTTAGCCGTATATCCTTGTTGCTGTGGTTTGTCTGCACAGACTACGTTCCATACTGTTCAGCATATGACTTAACTGTAGTTAGGTGTCAATAACCACAAGCCAAATACATGTAAACACCATCACCACCAACGAATGAGTGCTTCAAAAAGTTTAATCTATATGTTCGCTTCCGCTTTCAATCCAGAGTCGGGAATAAGTCTGGTAAAGCAAAATATGCTGCGGTTATTGGACATGGAAAGCAAAACAGGGTCAGGAGTGACAACGCTATAGGAATGCGTGCAATCCAGGCGTCGCTATGTTGGCGGTGACGTCATCACGATGCTGCCTCATTAAGACCCCGCAAATTGGGCGGGGTTTCTAGCTGGCGCACTTCTGCGGATATCAGTGAGTATCGCACGGGGAAAGACGTCAAAGAGGAGGCGGAAAATGAAGAAAGACTCTGAGATATCCGAATTGGTGCGATCGCCTGAAGTGTGTGAGGCCAGCACGGTCTGGATAAAATAAAACTGGCAACGTCGCCGGGAGCAGACAGGTTCCCGTTGTCAGACATCAGACATGTTCCCGTCGTCAGACATCAGACAGGTTCCCATTGTCAGACATCAGACATTTTCCCGGCGGACGCTGTGACGTTAACACCGTTGTTCAGTCGGCCAAGCTGGGGGAGGGGGGGGGGGGGATTTAATCAAGGCCCCGGAACTGTGATACGACGGATCCCGTGCAGAAAAATGGGTGTTTCACATTACCATATTCATCACACAGCCAACGACCTGAAAGCAAATAGGCCACAGATGGGATATGGGATAGGCTCTCGCAAAGCGAGGCATAAAAAAACAGTAGCCCCTGCAGGATGAGAATTGGCCACTCACACGCGAATGACGGGTACGTGCTGTGCGGCGGACACCGTTCATGTCCGCAGCTCACCGAAAAGCGGTTACGTCATTTCGGACAGGGCATTTCATGTCTTACCTATCCTGCGATTGGTGGGGGCGAGTTTCGCTGGTTTATCGCTGGCTAGCGGTTTCTATTTTAGCAGACGTATGATTCTCAGTAATTTACACACTTCGGTATTCATCTAGTGATGTTGTATGACCATTCAGGCCGCGGCCCAAGAACCCGAATCACCACCACCACTTATGAAGTGTGATACCATACAATGCAACACAATAAACAAGGCAAGAGTGCAAAAATGGAGACTGCTCCAATAGTTCAGGCCAAACGCAGTCAACCGATGAAAGTCGGGCTTCGCCCCAGGCACCAATGCTGTACCATGCAGGCCGAGCTCCCGTATCCTGCAGCCCCCGTTGCGTCATGAAGTTTTCTTTAGACATGAACCGCCCACTTTTCCACCAATCACCCCCACAAGAAGCGCCAAACCATGCCGATATCATATGATCAGTTGCGCGCAGTGGCGATTGCACCGTTGGCCAGTCAGCCAAAGTGGGGATTTAACCGGTGCGCGCAGTGACGTCTTCACCGTTGACCAGTCAGCCAAAGTGGGGATTTAACCGGTGCGCGCAGTGACGTCTTCACCGTTGGCCAGTCAGCCAAAGTGGGGATTTAACCGGTGCGCGCAGTGACGCCTTCACCGTTGGCCAGTCAGCCAAAGTGGGGATTTAACCGGTGCGCGCAGTGACGTCTTCACCGTTGACCAGTCAGCCAAAGTGGGGATTCAACAAGACCCGGGGAATGTGATTGACCGATCCCGCCCACAGCAAACTGGGGTCTTCCATTTCACATCTCCAAATTAGAAGACAGCTGGAGCGAAGTGCGGTTGTCATGGCGACGGCCATTGCCGCCGTGACATCAGGGTAAATGGCCGAGAGGTTGCGGAGTTTCACACCGGTGTCCAAGTCTGAAGCCGTCAGCAGGAAGCATTCTCTCATCACTGGCCCCCGTCGCCAATGCGTCAATGGACGTCAATACCTCTTGCAGTCACATGCCTCGTCAAATTACCCGACGGCAATACCGCGACGGCCATTGAGATGAAACCTCGGAAATCTAACCACCACACCTGTCTGTGATAGTCACAAACGTCATCCAGCGCACAGGTGGATGACGTCACGTTATGACACTTGACGCTGATCTGAAACGCATCTCAAATCAGCGCAACAAGCACACCTGTACACTACGCCCCCCAATCCAAGCGTTCGGGCGGGAGAACTGGGACAGGTGCGGGTCCACCGCCCCAGGCGCTGGATCAAGGTCACGCGAGCGGATGCGATGCTAGCGCCTCCCAGCGGCCGGAGCGCGAACCGTCTGCAAAACCAGTCCCGCGGCCCGCGTACGCGAAGCATTGTTGGCCGGGGAAACGCGCACCGGCGCGTCGCGCTCCCGCGCGACGCTGCGGCCAAGATGGCGTCGGGCGCTGCGGCGCTGCGTCCCGCCCCCGTGCTGCCGCTCCTGCTCTTGTGTGCCGCCGCCGCAGCCGCCGCCCCGGGCGGCACCGTGAACCGCTTCGGCCAGTGGCGCGTCGCCACCACGGCTCCCCCCGCCGCTCCGGCCGACCCGGCCACCTTCCGCAACGGCGGGCGGCGCCAGTGCCCGCCACCGGCCGGCGGCGACAACGCCAACGTCGGCTACGACAAGTTCGACCCGAACCGCTGCGTGGACGCGGACGTGGGCGTGCTGGCCGGCTGGCGGCCAGACCTGCAGGGCGCGCGCCGGCCAGGGGAGGGTCTCACCAACCCGCTGGTGGAGCTCCGCACGCAGCTGGGGCCGCTGACCGGGTTCCGGGTGAAGCTGTTCGACGAGCCGGGCCTGCGGCCGGAGGAGTGGCCGGCGCGGCTGCAGCCCGGCGTGCACAAGGAGAGGAGGACGGTGACTGCGTTCCTCGGCGTGCCGTACGCGCTGCCGCCCGTGCAGGAGGCGCGCTTTAAGGTGAGGCGTCGCTTGGTCGGTCGTCTGTTGGGGTGTAGTCCTTAGTCAGTTGTGGTCGTCTGACACTGCGTGTTTGCAGTTGCTGTGGACTTAAGACGCAGTCATAATGAGCGGGTAGGGTAAAACCGAAAAATGGCAGGTGGTGGGGTTCGAGCTCACGACCCAGCGGTCGTGCTTCCCTTGATCTACGGCAGTCAACTTTTAAAGGAGGGAGGAAGGGAGAAGGATAAACACGTAACATCATACGACGTGGGTGCCAAGTGCGATAGGGTTCGGGTTGCTGACAGCTAGACCACGGCCAACACACTTCGGTGTCCTGTCAAGGGGTCGTGGCTCGTGCATTAGTCGGCAAGCGACTGGTCTAATCATTCTGCATGTTGCGTTAATGAAGCCATTCTTGGCTCTCAGTTGCACGGGCAAATTCCGCCTCGTGTTTGGCGTGGTCTGCGCCTGAAGAACGGCAGTCATGCGACGCTGGATGTTAATTGTGCACTCTGACTTGGCGCTGTTCTGTTCCGTGTTTCGCTAAAAACTCCGCAGCTCCACATAGCACAGCGTCCCCGAAGGCCATCGACCCTGGAGCACGCCGTAGCGGCAGTGGCATTAAAGCAGGGGGAATGGGGGCTGCTGAAGTGCAGCGGTACAGTTTCCTGTTGGGTCTAGGAGGAGGGGCACCAGCCCGCTCCCCTCCCCCAACTTCTGTGAAGAAAGCGGAAGAATCCGAGAAGAGGCCCTTTTTGGCATATTTCGGGTTAGGTGTGGACACTTTTTGTGCTCGGCCGCCCCAGCTTATTTTGGGAGGCTACATCCCTGCTAGCGTAGCTTTTATGGGCCGCCCTTACGCCATCGCGGAAACCGCAATGGAGCCACACGCGGGTGGTAACACTCCCTCTCCCTTTTCGCTCAGTGTATTTCCGCACTCCGCGTCTTTCTCCTGGCGTAGAAAGCAGCCCACCAGCACGATGATTTGCCGCAGACTTGTCGCCTGGACCATCAGTGCCTAGACATCGGCCCGCGCTGCCCGGAGCCGGGCTGTTTGACCTGTGTGACCTTCTGGCACCTTGTTCCGCTGCCCGAGCGGTGATAATGCGCCGTTCTCGATAGCCAATCAGACGTCAGTATTGCGTCAAAGCGGCGGCGTGTGTGACGTGTAATGCGCCCAGTCACGCGAGTGGTTGGACGCATGGCCAAGGCATTTGTTGTCTTGAGTGCGTCAGGCTGTGCTCCAGCCTTTTACGTGTTTTGTGTGAGACATTGTATTCAGGGGCGGGTCTAGAGGGGGGGGGGGCACGGGGTCATGGCCCCCTTGGGCCCCGAAGGGGTCCATTGGCTCCGAGAGAAACACAAAACGCAACAAGACTGGGTATCTCTAGACTTCCAGGCGACCAAGAACAGTTGCAAGCGAAAGTGAAGGGCTTGTGAGAAGTCGCAAAAAATCATTCGATGATTGGAAAAGTTGTGGACTGGAAATTTTAAGGCTCATTTCACTGTCTAGGGGCCCGTGCTGTTTCCGGGGGACTTATGCGCGCACTTACAGGATTAATTCGATCGTTAAGGAGCATTCCATGTTGCCTTCTTATTCCTTTGCATTTGCTCCGCGGGCCCTGCGCGGTTGTTGTGGCCCTTCCTGTTATCGTGCCTGGGCACTCTTGTTGATCACGGGCCCTTCCACGGATTCTTTCCATTCGCCAGAAAGGCCCTGTAAGCTCTAGCCGGGGTCTCATATCTTAACCTGCCGGGATATTCTCGGTTGCTCAGGGACCCTTTACGTAGGTCTCTGCTAACCTACCGACACACTTGCAATATGCTCATGAGCCCCCCACATTGGCCTAGGGCGTTTCCAATCCTGTCGCTTGCTTAGGGCCCTTCACTCTCGTCGGGAATCCATCTGATGGCCTGCTTGGGGCTTGGGGCCCTTGGGACCCTGCTCCTGTCGGCGCCCCATCTCATAAGATCCTCGGGCCCATTCGATTGTGGGGGACCTCTACATCTGGTTTTGGATGCATCCTTTTTGAATGGAGTGCCCTCCGGTTTTTCCGGGGGCCCTGTCTGTCAGCCTGTTCTGGGGCACTCGATAATTGGGGCCCTCTACATCGTGTCGTATTTCATATCTGAACGGAAAACCCAACGCTCTTGCCAGGGCCCCATCTGTTAACCTGTTCGGGCCCACTCGAATATTTGGGGGCCCTCCACATTGTGCCTGGGGTACTTCCCATCTCAATGGAGGGCCCTACGTACTTGTCGGGACTCCATCTGTTTACCGCTTCGGCCACACTAGATTGTTCGGGGGGCCCATATATTGGGTCTCGGTATTTGAATTTAGGGCCCCACACTCCTGTCTGAGCCACCTGATAATCTGCTGGGGTATACACCATCTTTCGGGGGCCCTCCGCACTGGGTTTTGGGTACTTCTTATTCCAATGGAGGGCCCAACGCTCTCGTCGGGCCCCTTCTGACAAGCTGCTCGGGCACATTCCATCATTCTGGTGCCATTTGCATAGTGTCTTCGGTGCTTCCCATTCGAATGGAGGGCCTTGCGCTATTGTTGGTAACCCTATTTGTTAGCCTGCTCGGGCACGCTCGGTCACTCGGAGGCCCTCTACAATGGGTCTTGGGTATTTCCTATTTAGATGGAAGGCCTCACGCTCTTGACGGGGGCCCCATGTGTTAATCTGCTCGGGCGCACTCGATCGTTCAGAGCCCTACACATTGCGTCGTAAGTATATCTTATATTTGAGTGGATGGCCTTTGTTTTTTTTTTTGGGGGGGGCCTTTGAACAGATGGTTCTTGACGAGCCCCATCTGTTCCATTGCTCGGGCCGGCGGCGGATGCAGAGGGTCGGGGGGGGGGGGGCGGGACCATGCCCCATGGACCATGCCGAGGGACCCAAAGGCTCCGAGGGGGCCCATAACTGGCTGCACGGACGCAGTTTTCTTACAACAAAAACACAACAAATTGGATGGCTTTGGCCCTACAGACGACCACGAACTGTTGTTAGCAAAACTAAAGAGTTCATAAGCAAACAAAGGTATTCTTCGCTGATTGAAAAAGCGTTGTTTGGGGGAAATTTTGGGGCTCATTATGCCGTTTAGAGACATTACGCTGTTGGTTGCCTGGCCCTATATGTCCACTCGCCAGGTCAGTCTGATCGGTAAGGAGCTTTCCACGGTGCCCCTGATCTCTTTGCATTTTCTCATACGGCCCAATGTGCTGTTGGGACGCTATCTGCCTCCATGCCCGAGCACTGCTCATCGATCAGGTTTTCCCTCCACGGATTCTTCCCCTTCGCCCGAAAGGCTCTATACACTTTTTCCGGGGGCCCCATATGCCAGGGCACACTCAGTTGCTTAGGGGCGCCCTTTCGGGTTCTTTCTACTTGCCTGTGCTGTGCTGAGCGCCTTGTGCTGTTGCTAGGGCTCTTGTAAGGTAAGGCACGGAGACACTCGATGCTCAGGGGCCCTCTACTTTGATCGAGGACTCTCTCCCTTGGGTTTCATTTGCGGAGGACGCTTCACTCCTATCGAGGCTAGTGTTGTTGACCAGCCCGTGCACTCTTGACCGCACAGGGATATTGATTTATGGTCTTGAATAATTCCCATTTCCTCAGAGGGTGCTGTGCCACGGCCGGGGCTTTACATGTCAGCCTGCCTAGGTACAACCGATCGTTTAGGGGCCCACCACGTTGGTCTTGGGTTCTTTTTGCTTGAAGACCCTGTACTTGTTGACGAGAGCCACTTTGTTGGCCTCCTGCAGCACCCATGATCGTTCATGTTCCGTCCCTATTGGCTTTGGTGCCTTCATCTTAGAGCAGCAGTGGGAAATGCGCTGATGAATTTCTACGCGCAGTTGCCGAATGTAGTTGTACGTGCCGCCGACGGCGTATGTGTCATTTCCATTGGCTATTAAGTGTGTTACACTAGCTATACTAGTGTATGACGTTCTGAACATATGTTGAATGCTAGGACATGTTGTACTCCTTTATAACCAAGGAAAAATTATTGATTAGTCATCAGCCACCAGCTGATTACATCGCACAACCGGCTGGCCGTAAATGCATAAGCTAGGAATTAAGTCGATGCTTGGTTTTGATGGTTGTTAGCAGCCAACGCAGGTTTATTATGCCTGTTGTTCCGAAACACTTAGCCCCAAAACCACAGCATTTAAAATGACCTGTAGAAACTGAGTGAGCTCTATATGTATGCATGCATAGCACGCCTAGCTTTACAAGGCCGCGCACAGTAAGATGGGTTTCCGTATTTATTAGACAAATGGATAAGTATGTATATATATATATATATATATATATATATATATATATATATATATATATATACACATATATATATATATATATATATATATATATATATATTACATACGACGTGCTATAAAACGTAATGGCCGAAGTGCGAGGATGTTTTTCGGAGGGGGTCTCAAACTCCAGGGGGCCCCACAATGTTGCCGTCCCCCCCCCACCCCCCACCCCACTTGACAAAATCCTGGATCCGCCCCTGATTGTATCAAGCAAAAGCTATTTTTGTAGCAACATGCAAATAAGAGCAAATGAACTTGCGATGGCAGCGCTGATAGCGCTGGCACGCTGCCCGGGGTTGACCTGACCTGACCTGGCCGGGGCCGTACGTATTTGTTGCAGCACTCCCTGTCCCGGTTGATGGTGTCTGACGACGCCTGCACGTTACCCGAAGTGGGCCGATTTGACCAGACCTGACCAGGTTTTCTCGTTTCAACACCCGTGGCTCATCCCCATGATGGCGTGAGGCGTCTTGACATGACATCCCCATGATGGCGTGAGGCGTCTTGACATGACATCCCCATGATGGCGTGAGGCGTCTTGACATGACATCCCCATGATGGCGTGAGGCGTCTTGACATGACATCCCCATGATGGCGTGAGGCGTCTTGACATGACATGCCCATGATGGCGTGAGGCGTCTTGACATGACATGACCCATTTGTCTCATTATCACTGCTCGTCCTGGTCGACAGTGATGAACTACGTTGTTGTTACGCCATGGGGTTGGCCTGGCATGGCCTGACCTAGCGTAACCCGACCTGATTCTCGCCTGGTCTAACCTGACCTGACTGTTTCTGTCCCGACCTGACGTTTTGCGTCCTGACCTGACTCGCTTGTTCCAGCTCCTTATGTTCGACATCCCTGGCAGTAGTGGGTCATGCCATCATTCTGTGGACCTGACCTGACCTGACCTGACCTGAGCTGAGCGACCCTGCTGTGTTTGCCGCAGCCACCGCGGGCCCGGCCGGGTTGGCAGCGCTGGCTGGCGCTGGACTACGGGCCGGCATGCCCCCAGCCGGCCAGGTTTGTCGGGGCCGGACGTGGGGTGCGGGAGGTCGACGAGGACTGCCTCTACCTCAACGTCTTCACGCCTCAGGTGAGGGGAGGCGTGTGCCGACTGGCCGGTGGTGGGCTAGATATGCGCCCTTCGCTATGCCAAGTTTTGTTGGAGCTGGTTGGAGAGTGATTTGAATTCTGTTCGTTTTGGTCTGAATTTGAGCCCTGCTCCGACTAAGCCAACGACCTGTTCCGACTGGCTTGGATTTGAGTCTGATGTCGATCTTTCAGACGTCACCAACAGACATTTTCCCCGCTTTCCACCAACAAAAACGTTATTTTAGTATTGTTTTTGTCTGCCTCAAATCGACGACGTCAGAGATGATCCTGCCGGACCCAGAACACGCCGTTGTGACGTCTGATTGGGCAGGTGTCCAGCAACGTGAAGGAACTGTACGCGGTCATGGTGCACATCCACGGCGGCGAGTTCTCCCACGGCTCCTCCAACCGCTTCCCAGGCCACATGCTGGCCGCCTGGGGTCAGGTGGTGGTCGTGACCTTCAACTACCGCCTCGGGGCTCTAGGTCAGTGACCCGGCCTGCTGGCGTCGGTGATTGTCGGGAACCGTCGCCGGGCCATCCAGCTGTCAACCACGAGGGACGGAAAGATTGCGCGGATGCGGATGATACTGCAGTTGCTGAAGCTCCCGCACCAACAGTTCTTTTAGGGTGATTTTTTGAAGGATTTCTGGGGGCGAAAATCACGCTAAGCAGTGTTTGTGCAGTGCAGTGCTTTCAGGGCGATTTTTTGAAAGATTTCTGGGAGCGAAACTCACGCTAAGCAGTGCTTGCTATGTAAGCCCTGTCCTCTGCCATCCGATCGTGTAATTCCAGTTCAACGGTAGACCTTGGTGGCCGAAGCGCAACGTGCCACAAGGCTCGGCAGTGTCCGTCCTGCCCTCTGAGTCATCTGACCTTCAGTCCGGCCGCTGCCATCGGCTGCAGGGCGTATCTGTCAAGGACAAATAACGGGCGCCTAAAGCGACTCGAACCCACCTCGCCACGGATGGGTGGATCGGAATGCAGGCTGTCTTAACAACTGAGCTATTGGAGGTTTGAACACATATTTTCAGCGATCACTTCACACGCGCCCGGGTGGCCGGTTGAATACCCTTCGCTCGGGTGGGGGTCAATTTGACCCCCTGAGATCTGAGGAACTAAGAGACCTAACCACACCAAATTCACAGGGTGTGTTGGCCTGTACGTGAACTCACTTAGGTCGAAATTTGAGGTTCCTAGGCTATGGCCTTCGGGTCAAATAAGGTGAAACAAGGTCAAATTCCATGCTGGTCTCCAAAGAAATCACAGAACGTAGATAACTGCTCTAAGCAAAAATGATCATGCTCATTTTAGGTTAATGACCTTGTTTGACCTTTTGAAGGTCATGGTGACCAAAATCATACAAGACTGCTTTGAGTTTTGCATTTGAATAAGTGACAAAGAGTACGCTAGGCCGCATGCTCCTTGATACAAAATGTTGACCTATGTCCTTTCAGGTTACTGACCTATTCTGACCTTTAAGAAATTAATTGAAGGCGTATAATGCAGTCCCTGTTGTCGACAAATTTGAAGTGAGCAACATAAAATGTTCATACAGAAAGCCATAGAGTGATAAAACAGGTTGGTTTTGACCTCGAACTGACCCTCATACCTGACCCTAGGTCAATTTAATATGTTCATTCCATTATTGTGTTGCCTGAGAAAGTATCTCAGAGATGTATGGCTTCGTCTAACACTCTGCTGTTAGATTAGATTAAGCGATTCCCCAGAAATTGCCTCCGCTGAAACCATGGCCTAGTTTGACCTGCCATAGGTCAGCGACCTTACAAGGTACATCTAAATTTTTGGTGGTAAACAATCCGCTATTTAATTGTCTAGAGCTACGCAAGATCTGGTGCGGCTACGCCGTGCCGTTCGGAAATAATTCCGGAAATACCTTCGGGGGTCAAGCTGACCCCCCAACCGAGCGCGTGTTAGGTTAACAGCTATGTGTCAACAAAATTGTAACACTCTCCCCAAGTCACGTTCACTTGTGCAACCGGAACCACGCTGAAAAGTAGAGAGCGCTGGTTTTCGTCAGCTGAGTAACCCGAGACTCATCCACGGCGTGGATTTGGAGTGTAATCACAGCGCACTAAGAACATTCTGTACTGCGCAACGTGACGTCATGCAATTTTGGTGACAATAACTGCACATACACTAGGGTGTCCGTTGGCACGTCTACGCGGGCGCCTAACGATGAAAACTACAAATTGTCATTTGTAGCGTAAAACACGTCTGCTCCTCACCCGTCGTCGCTCGTGGGCGTGCAAACCGACTTGTATATAAATGAGCCCACTGCACCATTTCCGTCTCACCACGGCTAAGTAACGGAGCAAGATTCTGCATGTCCGGCAAGGCTTCTAAGTGACGTCACGTATGATCTTTGTCGTCTGGCCCGCTGCGAACACACCATTAGAGTAAATCGCCCTGACTACGGTTCCCACTTGGACGTGATGTGACTGGCCCCACTCTCCTCTACGGCCGTAGCGCCGTCGGGTGCACCGCTAGGTCAAGGTCAAACGGAATTCCGTCGACGCAAACATGGGACCTTTGGTCGTCGAGACGCGAATCTACGACGCTTTCGCAGACTCGTTGCTAGAACCAGTTGCTCCGAATCAGCGCGTTCGACAACACTGAACCTGATGGCTCAAAATTGACAGTTCTAGTCTCGAGTGGTACCAAGTGGCTTTCGATTGATTTGTAGGCGATTTGCGATGAGACATCGATGTCATGTCGCGGCAACGCGTTCCGCTAGATGCACGATCAAATGGTGCGGACCGCCGGCGGGCTGTTCAGAAGCGCCGCCCCGGCTCGGGGCAGCCCGAGTGGACTCGGCGAGTAGATCCCTGCCGACGTCCTCCGCCCGACTTCGATCCGCCGCGACGACTGAGTGCTCCTGTACCAGACTTGTGTTCGTGGCCTGTACTAGAGGGGTTTAAGGGCCCTCTTCGGGCATGCACACTCGTGTACACTTCACTCAAGACGCTTCTGCGTGAGGGCAGCAGCAGGTGCGTGGCGGGTTTTATAATCAAGTGACACAACATTACTGGAACTCAACAGCTAAGGTGGGTTATAGCTGTAACGAATTCTTTAGTTTGGGCAGCTCCGTTCAGACCGACGCTGAATCGCATCAGGGCCTCTTAGCCAAAGCTTTCGGCTTCCGCTGCATTGAGAAGCGATCAAGCCTGTAATGCGCTTAGCGAACTTGGAGCGAAGTTTGTATTGCGCAGTGCAGTGGAATAATGCTGACGATTTTCGCGCAATCAGCAAACTTCCCGGCGATGTTTCACCCTGGCTCATGACATGGCACATTCCGTTTTAAATGGCGCGTGCTGCTTTGAACTTCTCAAAAGCTTTGGCAGTGATTTCAAATATAGATATGGCGGTATTGCTAAAACAATTGCCTCCGGTTATCGCCGCCATATGCAACGAGCCAGTCGGCAAATAAGGCGTCCGGAACTTATCCTCATGGGCCTTTGACCATCGCAAATGTAGTCTGCGAACGGCTGCTTTGCCAATCATGTTCATGGTAAAGGTGTCTCCCTGGGTAGCAGCAAGTTAAAAGTATCAACACAAAGTAAAAAGGCCGTGCTCGATGAAAGCTTTTAACACAGACGCCAAAAGAAATCCGCGCGCGTGATTTAGTTCAGCCGCGAACCCTGCGCCCCAGATTTTGCTCCAACTGCCTCCTACCTCATATTAAGTTAGAAGTATTAAAGCAAAATAAAAAGGCAGCGCTCGTTGAAAGCTCTCAACACAGACGCCAAAACAAAACCGCGCACGTGATTTAGTTCAGCCGCGAGCCCTGCGCCCCAGAACAAAACAAAACGCGCACGCCAAAAAAAAAAAACGCCAAAACAAAACCGCGCACGTGATTTAATTTAGCCGCAAGCCCGCGCCGCTGTTTTCGCTCTAACCGTCTCATACCGACCTACAGGCTTTCTGAGCACTGGCGACGAGCACTCACCGGGAAACTACGGCCTACTGGATCAGGCGATGGCTCTGCGCTGGGTGTACGACAACGTGCACTACTTCAACGGCGACCGACGCCGCATCACGGTGTTCGGCGACGACGCCGGAGCGGCCAGCGCCGGCCTGCTGGCCGTCTCCCCGCGCACGGCCCATATCGTGCACCAGGTCATCGCCCAGGTCAGGTCGGGGCCACAGGTCAGGGTCTGGGTCACAGATCGTCCCTGGGTCAGGTCCGTGTCGCTGGTCGTCCCCGGGTGAGGGTCACAGGTCATTGCCCGGATCATGGTCAGAGTCACAGGCCGTCGCCCAAGTCAGGGTTACAGGTCATCGCCCGGATCAAGGTTAAGATCACAGGTCGTCGCCCAGGTCAGCGTCAAGGTCACCGGTTATCGCACTGGTGAGGGTCAGGGTCACATATCCTTCAGGTGGGCAAGGTCACAGGACGGAGTTACAGTTCATCGCCCCATATCACGGTCAGGGTCACAGGTCGTCCCGGTTCAGGATCACAGGTGACTGGCCATGTCATCTCTGGATCAGGATTAGACGTCGCGGGGACGGCGCGGGGAGGGGGTCTAGATCAGCAGAGATCATGGTTAGAGGGTCAGGGTAAGAGGGGCGTTGTTAGGGTAATCTCGGAAAGGCTGAGAGTCGTGTGGTGGCGGGTGTGGGCCACAATCGCTGTTCAGCGCTGAAGGCGGTCGCCACTTGATGAAATAAAAGTGTTCTATTTGTAGCTCGGTGCGATGTTTTCGGTTTTTAGGGACTTCTGCTGGAATGTGAGGGTGGCTGAAAATAACGCTTTGCCGGTATAACTTGCGTAGGCTCAACTGACAGTGTCTTGATCGTCCGACAGTTGGATAGCCGAAACCGTCCATAATCAATCATTCCCATCTGAAGAAATCGACCCGAGCAATTTCTGTATCCTCAACCACCCGTCAAAATTTGCGTACCTATGAATAGACGATACTCTTCTCCCCCTAACTTCCGCTGAGGCAGCTGCGCCAGAGCGGCGCCCATGTTATCACGTGACCACCGACACCGTCATGGCGTCGTTGGCAACCGTCGACGCCCGTGTCGACAGAGCGGGTCCCCGCTGGCTGACTGGGCGGCCATCTCGGACCTGGAGTGGGCCCGCAACACGTCCCGCGTGTTCGGCGAGAGGATCGGCTGCCTGGCCGACACGTCCGCCAAGCTGGTCAACTGCCTCAGCCGCGGACGCAGCGCGCTGGAGATCGGAGACGTCGAGTTCACGGTGAGTGAGCGCAGGTGTGGACTCTGCGGTGGGAGATCAGACATGTTGGCTGTATGGTCAGATGTAGCAGATGTCGAAGTTACGGTGAGTGAGCGGAGGTGTGAGCTGTGCGGTGGGAGATCAGATATGTTTGCTGTATGGTCAGATGGGCAGATCCTAATTCACGGTGAGTGAGCGGAGGCGTGGGTTGTGCGGTGGGAGATCATGTAATGTTGGCGGTGTGGTGAGATGTGGCAGATGTCAACAGCACCGTGTGAGATCGAAAATGCTGACGGTGCGGCGAGATGTCAAAGATAACGACGGCGCCGTGTGTAATGTCGGAGATGTTGACGGCGCGGTGTGAGATTGGAGACGTCGCCGGTAATGTGAGACGGCGGAGATGTTGACGGCACGGTATGCGATGACGGAGATGTTGACGACGCGGTGTGAGATCGGAGACGTCGCCGGTGATGTGAGACGGCGTCACGGTGTGTGATGTCGGAGATGTTGACGACGCGATGTGAGATCGGAGACGTCGCCGGTAATGTGGGACGGCGGCACGGTGTGTGATGTCGGAGATGATGCCGACGCGGTGTGAGATCGGAGACGTCGCCGGTAATGTGAGACGGTGGAGATGTTGACGACATGGTGGGGGCCGTAGTGGAGACGGACGGTGTCGACTTCACAGTGAGGATCAGACGCGCTCTCGATCAGGAGTGGGTGACGTGGACTCGACATAAAGAGATCGGCGATGACGGCCACGCGATGAGAGATGGCAGACACATTTGTCACCGTGAGAGATCGGGGACGTTTACGTTGTAGGATTGGGGCTGTGGACTTCGCAGAGGGTAATGCCAGGTGAGAAGTAGGACACGTTGGAGTCGCGGTGAGAGAGCAGAGATGAGTCCACTGCAGGACGCATCAGTGTAACAGCTTAATACGCCAAGCGACTTCACGGCGGTGGTAGAAGATGTGTACTCCATGGCCAGAGGTAGGATAGTTCCGCTTAAATAAATGGTCCGAGGTAAGAAATGTCGACTTCACGATGATATACAACGGTAGTCGACTTGTACTTCATGGCGTTAAACTGGAGACAGCGCCGTCGTAATGAGGCATCGAAGTCATTGGTCGCATACTAGAAGATGGAACGCGCCGGCTGCGCCAACATCTGGGAGCTGTGGACGTCAAAGTGGGAGATAAGATACGTCCAAGTCATAATGAAGGGGTCGTATGCATCTACTCGGCAGTTAGAGGCCGGCGATGCCGACTGTAGACGGGTAGATCGTGCAGTGCAAGACATGACAGAGGTTCGCTCCTGTGTCGTAAGGCTTCCAGTCGGATGGCGTTAGCAGAACCACGGCATTGTTCAGTGGTGATCTCGTTCAACACTTCTGCTTTGCCGCAGTCGCTGTGACAATTTTTTTTGCAATTAAGTGAGCCTTCCTCTTTGCGGAAGGCCCAACTTGATCGCCTTCCCCCTGGCGGAAGGCCCAACTCGATCGCCTTCCTCTTGGCGGAAGGCCCAACTTGATCGCCTTCCCCTTGGCTGAAGGCCCAACTTGATCGCCTTCCCCTTTTGCTGAAGGTCCAACTTGGTCACCTTCCCTTGTTATGAATGTTTGCTGTGAGGTGCCAGCATGCTGATGGATCCATTCACTCTTCGCGTCCTCCGAGTGCCTGAACATTCTAAGTATAGCAACACTAGCGGACAAAACGCATGCCCAACGCCCTTCTCGATGACAATTTCCGGGAGCTTTGAATCTCGTCGTGCCGTGGTGGAGCAGTGGCCAAACATGCTGGGCTACCGAGGGAAAGCAATCTGAAGTGGAATTCGCTGACGGAGCTCGAGCGATTTCCGCGGACGTACTTCCGAGCGCGGTTTGTGGCCGCCGCGGCGTCTGGACGGCCATTTGACACGTTCGCGAGGGCCCACTTTATTTGGGTTGTGAAGACGCAAACTGTGTTCGATGCGCTATATTTGGGGCTTTGAGTTTATGGAGCGCTGGAGTTTTCAGCACCGCGGGCAGGCGTTGTGGTGCTCAACACGCGACGCCCGTCGGCAGAATGATGAATGCGTTTCCGTCGGCGGGTTTGAGTCGCACTGAAACCATAACAAGCTTTGGAATTCAGCTGGCTCGGTCTGGTCCAATAGCTGATTTAAACTAAACCGTAGTATCAGCAAAGCTTAACGATATATTACGTATGTTACCGATTGCAGATACATTAGTTACACTCATTGATATGTTATAGATATATAATTACACTAAACGACATATTATGGGTATAGTAGATGCACTAAACGATATGTCATAGGCATATTACCTACACTAAGCTAAATATTATATGTGTATGATGCACACCACGGAAATATATGATCGGGATGTTTTCTGCACTGAACGACAAGTTAAAGACAAAGTACCTACACTAAACGATATATTATAGACATGCCACTTACTGTGCGATATAATATATAAGGTCTGCAATCATTAATCACAGTTCTTGTAATATTAATGACCAAACTTTTCTTGAAAATTGAAAATGTGTGAAATGAAATGAAAAAAAAAAATTCTTGAAAACTGGTGATGTGTGAACTTAAAGTTGCTCGCAAATAAGCTTCGGGAAGAGGCTTGAGTTTCCTGCATCTTTTTAATTTGAACAGAGCATAGACCATGCGTTTTGACTGGCAATATCATCATTCAGTGCCGGCATTGATTGTTGTTGTGGGCCACAGTCGAGGCACACAGCAGGCTTAGCAAGTTAAACGAAGATGTGGAGTGAGCAAACGGTAGGATCATATTTTTTTAATCCGGCGACAAGAGACTATGTCAGAGATTGTTTGGGATTTGTCAACGTTGGAATGGAACTACCCCAACAAAAAAGTTCAATAACATATTACTCGCTAGCTTTTGTTAGCCACCAGATTACGCTGGATTACGGCGACTGCGAGAATACATGGTGTGTACAGCTCGTAGCCTGAAATAGATGTACATCATGGTGAATATTTTTCACTTTCGAATTTCTTCATTTCACCGTGACCATATCCATGACATATCCATTCGCTGATCGCTGCATGGCGCCTCCGAGCCGACAGCTGCTGTTTGACGACGCACCAAGTGCGCCACATTTCCACGACGCCCTTCATCATATCGACCCTTCCACTAACTGTGGCAGATTTGCTGACGAACGTGGCGCTTACTGATGGCAATCTGGCGCGCTGCTGACGTCTCGGCGGCCTCGCCTACGCCAGCGGCGTCCGGACGTTTCCCGGCAATGCTCGGGGCGTTTCTGCGTCGCTGCTCAGCCGACATTGCGTCGCTGCCCAGCCGACATTGCGTTGCTGCTCTCGCCGGCCAATCGCCTCTCCGGAGTGGAAGTGCCAGTGGACAGCATTTGCCATGTCAACGCTCCAATTCCATAATGGACTCGCCCGTCGGCGGCGCTGTTGGGGCTGGAGGGGCCGGAGCGGTGCTCTGTTGTGGGCTGGAGTATACTGGCACTCTCGCAGCCGGCACGTTGCCGCGCGTGCTTGGGATGTTTCGCCCCCCCCCCCCTCCCCTGTGGCGCAAGCGGTCTGGGCTTCACATCTGGCGCCATGCATGCATAAGCAGGTGACTGCCTGGCAAGTTCACTGGCCGCCAGGAGTTGGAAAGGTCCGTGGGTGTAACCACCACGGACTCGGGGCTGTCAGCGTTCCTTGTTCTACAGCACAGGGTCGTGACAGGCCAGGTCCGTGTAAAACTGCTCCGAAACCACAATCATCACATGTGAGGGATCACTGCGTGAGTGGCACGTCCGATAAAGAGCGAGGCAAAATGGCCTGGTCGATGCTGCGTGAAAAGCAGCGCGAGGCAGGACGGAGCCGTGCAAAAAGCGAGTGAAAGGCCGGGCCGCATGGCTTTGCGTTGTTTGCGTGCTGCGGCTTCGTTGGTCGAACTGTGCCTGCGAGTTCGTGGGTCGGCAAACTCCGCTGACGGCCGATCCGTTTCACGCACCTTGACCTTGACCTTGGCAGTATCACGCCGTTTTGGTCTCATTCCTCGCCGTTGCACTAGTTTTTGCACTGATTTCTTTACCCTCCCAGTCAACATGACATCTGCTGCGCTGACGTCTTCACCGACCCCGCACAGCCCGTGCTGTCCATATGCAAACCCGTTGCGCTGACCTCTGGTCTGACCTTGTGCCGTGACCTTTGACGTGGCTTCGGCGCCGGCAGCCGGACGTGGGCGTGTTCCCGTGGGCGCCGGTGGTGCAGGCCAACATCTCGCTGCCGCCGGACGGCTGGTACGAGGGCTGGACGGAGCGCGACTGGCGGGTGCTGCCTGATCTACCGGCCGCGCTGTACCGGGCGCGGGCCTTCAGCGGCGACCTCCGGCTGCTGACCGGGGTCAACAGGGACGAGGCGGCTCCCTTCGTGTGTGAGTACCGCAGCGGCGGAGGCAGCGGCGGCGGCGTCTGTGCGGCGGATGATCACCCGTTCGGCATGCGTGAGCAGGGTTTCTCTGTCCGCCTGTGAATGAGGGAGGCGAGACATAAGCTGGTGTGGCCGTGTTTGGGAACGGCATATGTCTGCTGTGTGGTGAGAGGTCTCGGAGGTCATGGCCTTTGGTTATGTCGTTGGAGAGACGGCTGCACAGCAGTGATGGAGAAGCGCCGTTTGGGAACAGTGACAGCTTGCTCAATTTGTGCGCATGCGAATGCAAACGGTTCCTTTGATAAAGGGTTACAGGCCTTTGCTCCGTTCGGTTTCTGATAAAGCGCAGTACATTAACTATAAGTGCAATTCTCATGATCTGAATTGTAAACAAAAAAGTTCACGCAGTTGTTGGCGAAGCGCGGGCTTCGTCCTTGGTGGTTCGTGCTAACAATAGGGCTCCATTCCAAGACACCGGAGCTGGAGCCTACGTCATCCATCCCTGACACCACCTCGGACCCGGATGTGCGCCTGATCCGGGTCTTGACACGGCCCCCGATCCGGTTATCGGCAGACGGAAACGCGAGCTTGGCCCCGGACTACGTCATCACGCAGCGCTGGCTGGACACCAAGGTGCGGGAGTGGGCCGAACAACACAACTACACGCTGAACCTGAACGGCGTGACGACGGCCATGCGGCATCTGTACACGTACTGGCCCGACCCCAAGAACCAGACGTGGATACGCCAGATGTACATCAACGTGAGCGCGCCGCCGTCCTCCACCAGCGCATGTGTCGGGAGCGTGCACACGTGGTAACCCTCGGGAGCACGTGCTTTCCCCTTACCAAATTGATGCCCCGTTTAATATGCACATGACTAAATGTTTGCCAGTAAAGATTCTTGCGGTAGACGCCGAAAAAGGAGGATGGAAAGCCTGTATGTTTTACGCCACGTACGAAAAATCGCGTGCATGCGTGCACGTGATAACGCGTGTTTGCATGCACTTCCGGCGTTCTCGGTTGCTTCTTGTGGTTTTGCTCCTCCCATTGTGAAACCCTGCGCGTGCCCCAGCCTCCTATTGCGCGGCCCGGGACACCGCAAAGCGGCCTCGTTGTGAACCCACCCTTCAACACCACACGCCGGCGCGCCGGTGGTGCGTCCATGGGCTGGCCACGGTTGTGGCGTGAGCTGTAGACTGCTGCGAAGTTGGGGCGGCGTGTGCCAGCGCGAGAGCGTGGAGGGCGAACTGATGCCGACGGCCGCGCTCACGGAGAGATGAGGAGGACGCAAACGCGGGCAGCAGCGTGCGCTTGAGTTGTGCTACACGTTACTAGATGTTGCGTTAAACGAGTGGCGAAATAGCATGTTGAGCAGGTAACGAAATATGTTGAGCGTGAAACGAAATGTTGTGTTGAGCAAGTAATGAAATGCTATGTTGAGCCAGTAACGGAATCTTATGTTGAGCAAGTAGCGAAACGTTGCGTTGAGCAAGTAATGAAATGCGATGTCGGTGTTGATGATGATGTGGTGACGTGAGGGGGATGACGTGTTGTCACATCACGTGCCCAGGTGTGACGCCGCCTCCGCGCCGCAGTTTGTCTCTGACGCGCTGTACACGGCTCCGGTGGACGCCATGGTGAAGATGGCCCTGGAGCTGGACGTGCCCACGTACCAGTACGTGCTCAACACCACGGTGGAGGCCCTGGAGGCGCCGCTGTGGCGGCAGGTCCCTCACGGCCTGCAGTACTACATGCTGACTGGCGCACCCTTCTTGGACCCCGGTAAGAGGCGCGGCTCACCCAGTGACTACGGAGTCGTATTTGCCCGTGGAGGCTGCATTTGCCCGTATGCCTTCCCAGGGCGTGGTGCGGGGTGTGGCTATCTCGTGAGAGTATCTGCGGCGCTTGCATGCACGTCTGTGACCTGTGCGTGGTGTTTTACGTTGGTTTGGTGCGGAGGGGGAAGGGGTTGTAGTGTAGAATGTGTCACTCGTTTCTGCTTGGCATCTTGGTTACGGAAGCTTTTCCAGCGTTGATCAGCCGCCTTTGGGTATAAGCTGGCGTTGTTTCAGGGTTCACCCTGGTGACCGGGATTCAGTGCCTCGAACGGGGAGGGGGAGGTTAAGCCATCTGGCCAAGCCCTCGGGAAAGGAGAGGTGCCACGCGCTTCGTAATTTGTATATGTCATGAGTGGTACGTACTGGTATTATGCACAGCACTGTTTGAGTTGCAGAAGCTGGGAGATGGGACGGGGCAGGTCCCTCCAGTTCATCAAATTACGTCAGTGTATTGCATGTGAGCGCCACAACGCTTTTAAGCATAGTAGCGATGTATCTTTTAAGCTGCGAGAAAGTTACTAACCAACTTTTATAAAACCTGTAGAGCTAAAAACTAAAAACAAAATGGTGGAAATACGTGAGATTTGGTTCTTGATATACGCGAATATCTGCGCCTTTTCATTTTGTACAGGGTCATTTTTTCTGGCCGAACCTCGAGGGATGGCATGGGAGTAATTTGCACACGTTATTGGAACATAATTCATCGTGGAAATGCTCAAGTGAAACGAACCACTTCTGTTATGGGATCTATGCTGATTATGCTCCTCAGGCTCCTAGTAGAATGACAATCACAGGATTAAATTCAGTATAGGTCTGAAGAGCATGAACTTCTCTGACGTGGCGAAACTTTGTCGCCTCATAGCAAGCGGCACATGGATTCGCAGCTAAAGGTCATTATTTTAATGGCATTGAGCGGCACTGCGAACTTCGCAAGTCCTGCGAAATAATGTCAAAAATGTATGTTCTAAGGCCGCTGCAGCGGGCTCGCCAGCGCATGTTGCTGAGACAAACATTTTTTGTTTTACTCTTTACTATCAGATGGCAAGCAGAAGTTCGGTTCGTGAATAACATTGCCACAACAAAACACGGCGGGATGAGCGTTGACATGACAACGGGAATGACCTGCCGTGCCATCTCACTGCCCAGGTCTGTGTGCGCAGCGCACGGAAGTCCGCCGTCTCCGCAACACGTGCGATGCTGTTGGCAGAGCTTCTGCCAGGAGACGTTCGACTGGAACGGAACGCCTGGACGGAGGGCGACAGAAACATGAGTCAGCTGTTCATCGAGGCGTTCGCCAACTTCGCGAAAACCGGGTCAGTGTTTCTGGTGCGAGTGGTACTCGGTTTCCGATGCGAATGTCGGGAAAGGTGGTTTCGCTAGCTTAAGGTGGTGCGTTGTTCTGAAAGACTAGTTGGACGCAACTAGGTGAGCAAAGTGACACGTTCAGTTGTGTGATTGATACTAACAGTGGAATTTTGACTTGTTAGAGGCATTGGCGCTTTGGAACCGAAAGCGTGCAAAGTCTTTCCCTCGGTTGGGTGTGCATTTTTGGGTGGACTTGACCTGAGTATAAAGAAAATCAGTTCAGCAGTTTTCATCAAATGCTACGCACCCGATGTGCATCGCGACGAACCCTATGGCGCGCTCCACCCGACCTCTCACTCTGACCGGCCGATCCACCCGACCTCTCACTCTGACCGGCCGTTTATCTCCACCTAACCTCTGACCTCTGCGTGACCGCCGTGTGCTCGCCGCAGTCGGCCATCGCCGCGTCAGATCCTGAACACTGTCAGCTGGCAGCCGGCCCTGCGCGGCGACCAGCGCTTCCTCAGCATCAACAACACCTTCAACAGCACCATGTTCAGCAACCACCGGCAGACGGAGAGCGCCTTCTGGACCCAGTACCTGCCGACGCTGGTGGGCCACGAACTGCCCACATACCGACCTACTACCGAGGTTAGTGAGCTGCGGCCAGCCGACCATCAGGCAGGTGTGGGGGGGGGGGGGGGGGGGTCGCGGAGCGGCTCTGGCGGAGAGGGGTCTTTGCGTGCTAGTTGTTTTCCAGCAAAAATCATGTTTTTGCGAGTGGATGGTGTTTTTGTGTGATGTTTTTATCTTGTATAAGCGTCATTACATACCACGCAGTTTCGTGATGAGGCAGTGTGTCACGTTTTTATCTTTCTGTTGCACTGCCGGGCATTCGGCCACGTGCGAGCAAAGCATTCGCTTTTACCATTGGGTGTGGCCAAAGATATTTCCGTTGGAAGGTTCTTAACAGACTTACAGTCAATGTTTGAGTTGTTGCACGGCGCCGGGTATTGTAGATGACATATTTAGCTACAGTTAGAACATATATCAAAATGGGGTCATTGCAATCACCAGAAGTGAGCTGAAGATCTTGCACATTAGCCACCTTACGTGCTCTTAAGATTTATTTCGCTTCTCAAACACTCTTGAACAACCCCAGCAGGACACAAATGATGGGGGGCGCCCAATGACGCGCCGGGCCTGAGGCAAATAGCGACACAAAATGGATGACATACTTGGCAAGCGTGCTTATCACGATTTTAAATTCGGAAGGAGCATACCGAGTTATGGGTGAGCATGTTAACATGTTAACATAAGCAGGTTAAAGGGAGTGTAACACACCTATATTGGCTGTTAAACTGAAATAGCCATTTTGAAAGCAAACTTTCGATGCTCTTCACAATCTCGCCCTTCTTAAGATCCAAACTTCACTAGTTTCTGAGCTACCTGTCCGCGAAAATGGGGAAATATATGTCGGGAGAGTATATCAAAGTCACCTTGTTATTCATGTCATAATGACATCATTCAAAGTCTATACCACAAGCAATCCGGCGACCAAAGCCAAGAGGGGTATAAGGGTCGAGGCGTTCATATCTGGCATTCGTGAGTACGATTTCCAGATATAACGGCCGCCAATTGGCTCTCAATCATTGTTGTACAAGGTACGATGACGTGATGAAACCAAGAGGCATTGAGGAGCATATTTAATAAGCGGAGAATTGTGCCGTCTAGAGCAGTCTTTTCTACTAAAAGAGTGCACCAGTATGTATAGGTGAGCTTGTTTCACCATATCTAATGCTTGCTTCACTATCTTCAAATGTGAAACGTTTCCTGTTACACAGCAAGTTAGCAAACTCGCGGTATGCCTAATTTTACGCTCCAAACTAACGGATGAAACTATACATCACTGCGTCATTTATTTTTGTGCTTCAAATCATTGGTATTTCGATTTCTCGCGCCTTGGGGACCGAACGGTGACACCATTTTGAAGCTGTTACCTTCCCGAATGTGTGTGCGCGTGTGTGCGCGGTGTGCGAAAAGTGTGCGCGGCCAGGTAGGCATGGTTGTGCATACCAATGTTAGGGCTGTTTGCCGACGAGCTTTTGCCGACGAGTTTGATGGGATAACTATATAAACATGGCTAAAATAATCCAGATGGTTACGGAATAAGTGATGACATAATTTTACGCCGTCTTTCGGTGTACGGCGTTGCAGATTACGGCATCTGTCGGTTGCCATGACTAGTAAATTTTCAGTGGCCCCCCCCAAAAAAGACCGTCTTTCTTATCCCATTTATCATATCTTAGCTTTTGAATTTCGTGTCTGGGGATACCACCTTTGTATTACAATGTGGTATCATTGTATTGCAATGGTGTTCGTCTCCAACATGATAAACATCAGCATTTTTTTTCCTGGGCGAGTACAGCACTTCCAAGACATGTCCCTATTTTCTGACTCGTCTCAAGACCAATGCGTCATAATTACGCATGACCCACTCTTTGGTGTAATATGAGGCAACCATAGGTAGACCAGGAAACAATTCTCAACTTTCAGCGTTTTTATCCATTTTGTTGTCCATGATAACATCAGACGAATATGTGTAAATCCGCCACTTCTAATCCGGGCCGAACCACATGTGGACATCTATTTTGCCGACATCGCTGACGCGTCAGTCACGGTGGGCCCGGTCGGTCTCCAGACACCCTGCAGCGATCGATTCCCCCTCCCCTGCATCCCCCCTCCCTGGGTGGGTCAAGGGCCGACGCCCTTGCACACCCCACGGCCTAGAGCACCCTTGGAAGGAGGTCCTTGTGCGATAGTGTTGAAAGATAGGGCTCGAGCTAGCCGGCATCGGCCCCACTCCTCCAACGGAACGCGGCCAGAGGGGTAGGGAGCACTCCTGGAGATCGGAGCGACAAAACGAACGAACGAACAAACCGAACAAAGCGAACACAGCAAAAGAAGTCCCGACTGCAGACACCGCGCCGTTAAGTCTGGACGTGCGGCCTCCAGCCAACGTTGGACGGAGAAAAGCTTCTCTCAATCGCGTATTGACCGATGCCTACGTGGCGCCGGGCGTCTTAGCAGTCGTCAGCTGCTGGGCAGTCTGATTTGATTACAGGGTGCTGGCGTCAGGTGGCTGCTCCCGAGCCGGCTCCGACGGTGGGCTACTCAGCAGGGAGTGGAGAGAAAAAAGCGCTGAGCGCTGGGAGAGCTGCCGCTGTTGCATGTCTTTTTATCGTTGATTTCTTGGTTTTGCAGCTGGGCTGTTGGCCATTGGTTGATGCAGCAATAAAAGGCTACGTCCACGATCCAACCGAAGTGAGACATCCAGCGTGGTCAAATGGTGTGACAGTGTTCAGGAGTGGTGGATGGGGGGGGGGGGGGCGAGCGCAGAGGAGGACGCCGTCTCCCCACCAAACACACACCCACCCACACCCACACGCACACGCACACGCACACCCACACCCACACCCACACCCACACCCACACCCACAGCCACACCTACACCCACACCCACACACGCACGCGCACACACGCACGCGTACACACGCACACACGCACGCGCATGTGTATATATATATATATATATATATATATATATATATATATATATATATGCGTATATACATATGAAGCCACGCATGCAACTCAATGTCTTCCCGTTGATTTTGAGCTTGAGAGCACAGCTGTGTGGGAGCGCCGCAAGTTCTTTTGACTTGTCTTGTTTTGATGGTCACTTTACGGCACATCTGTCGTGGCTGGATATTTCATGTTGACGGCCGTTGCAAAAATAGACGTGGTACAATTTGCACCACCATGGACTTTGTTGGGGGAGGGGGCTGAGCAGCGATAAACGGCTAGACCCATCACGCAAATGGCCGAAAGCGGGCCGCTCCCCAAATGTGGCCTACTTTTCCCTCAAAGTTGATAAGCGGCAGCCCCCCCCCCCCTCTGCCCCTGCCCGGAAACTCTTCCCCTTGTACGCCACTTGGTATCCGTACACGCAGCACCAAGCAGCCCACCGCGTAAATATACCCCCTCCTCCGGCCGTCACCCCCACCTGGCTCTCGGGGCCCGGCCAACAGTCCGTGGTGAGGAGCGCGTCTCTGGGCGGGAGAGGAGGGCAAACACCGGAAGTCCGCACTGCGGCGGTCGTTCTAGCGGCTGTCTAGCGGCTGTCTAGCGGCTGTCCGTCATCTTCGGGTCGCCGCTTCCGACGGTCGTTTTGCGTCAGCGTTGATGGTATCGTGCTCTCGTGCAGATTTCTGTCGTCAGTTCTGGTGACCTGTACGGTATGAGTTTGTCCGCGACTGATCTATGGCCTGCCGTGATGGTCCCCTGGCGACACAGGTGTCATCCCTCGTTGTCCGTTTTCACTTTTCTCTGTTGCCCGTTCTCACTGTTCTCCATTGCCCGTTCTCACAGTTCTCTCCTGCTCGTTTTCACTGTTCTCTGTTGCCCGTTCTCACTGTTCTCTGTTGCCCGTTCTCACTGTTCTCTGTTGCCCGTTCTCATTGTTCTCTCGCCTGTTCTCACTGTTCTCGAAAGCCCGTTCTGGCTGTTCTCTGTTGTCAATTCTGGTGTCTTTTTGTCGTCAGTTTTGGTGGAATGAGCCGGGAGAGCCGCTGCACATCGCCTTCTGGTCCGTGACGGCTCTTACTTTCGTTCTGCTGCTGGTCATTGCTGCTTTCTGCTGCCTATGGCAGAACACCAAGCGGTGAGTCGGCGAACCACTAGTTGTTCGTTCTTTCGCAGCGCCGCAGGTGTCGTGGAAAACGCGAGTTGCATCCTTCGGGGGATCCCGTTCTGAGTGATGGGTCCGGATTGTGGCTAATATGCTCTGTTTACTGGCTGGCTTGTTTTCAATGAATGTATCGCTGTTTCTTGCGTATACGCCGTCGTCAATTTTGCGGCAACACAGGTGAAATAATTTTTGCACTACTGCCTCAGCACAGTTAACGCGGTGGATACATCCTAAGCTGAGAGGTGTGTTTCTCGTGTGAAACGTACCTGTGCATATTACCGTGTGTTCATCTACCTGTGTCTTGTTTACAGAAAGAGTGACCGACTGTACGAGGAGTCGTTTATGGATGGCAACCTGGAGGTGCAGGAGAACACTCACTTCGCCGCAAGTGTCAGCAAGCCGCCCTCGGTTTCCTCCGTCAACGACGTCAGCACCGTCACCCACCAGACCACACTCTGATGGTGCTGGAGAAGACTGGGCTGGACTATGCCGGACGAGGCTTCATTAGGCGCCATCACGCCAGACGTGGTCGAGGGAGGGCAGAACACAGGAGGCCACTACCTGACCCGACCTTTCCCACCGGCAAGGACGGCGTCCCTGGCGGCCGAAACGGGAATCTGAAGTTCGAGTGGACGACGCTGCGTGCCGCTCGGTTGATGTGCCGGCGGCAGTGGAATACAGATACAGTCTCAAGCACGTCGCAGGAGTCCCAGATCGATGACAGCTTTCCACAGAAGCGTATCGCTGTCATAAAATGACGTGTAGCGGTGTCTAAGAGCGGTAGGTGCATCGGAGAACGTTTAAATGCCACAAAATTCCACTGCGTTGCGTATAATGCTCTTGATAGCCGGTGGGACGACTCCGACCGTGTCGTCTGGCGGGAGAAGACCTGTAAGTGTAGGTCAGTAGTAAGAGTTTTGATCGCTTTTGTTGCCAACCTGCTTCTACAGGGACGACGTCGGCCAATCACCGCGCGCGTTCTTAAGACACTTATCGTCCCCCACGCGTGACCGGATGTCGGCCAGCGGTGTCACGCGAGTCGTGCACCGACACACAACATCGAGCCAGCTCCTGCATGGCACTTTATTGCCTGGAAAGGACGGCCCGGCTATTTGCCTGCCAAGCGCTGGGTGGTTTTGCTACATCTCCGTCAGCTGTTTAGAGCAGCTCTAAATTTGCTGACGGCGCGGCGCGTGGCTTGAAAGCGGAATGCGTGCTGTGTTGAGATCTCCGCGTGCGCTGCGGCACATTATCCGCGGTGTTTTGGGGTGCGTCGATGTGCCCTCCCGGCCCGGAAGATCGCGGTCATCCCAGTGGGCCATGTATATTTACGCAGCCACTCAGCAGATTTCACATGGTCGTCGCTGGATTAGGCACGGTGGTACGCTTTGGCCTATATGTGCCACAGGTGGCTGTTCATATTCGGTTGCGAGATGCTCATCGTCGATGACGACGTGTGTGGTGCGGCATATGCATGCATGGGTTCCAAGCAGGTGGCGTGGTGGTTGCCCAACTGTTGCAGAATATGACGCCGGGTCCATAGCAGTTGCATTGAAGCAAAGACTAAGAAGCGTCCCATTTCCCAACATCTCGCCACAAGTCTCAGCCATTGTAAGCTTATATGGCGTACGCTGTCCGTCGTCATGGAATACGTGTGGCGTTTGCGGGCGTTTGCGCATGGTATGAACTGAATTTACGGCTTATTTTATGAAGTGGCTGACTTTGTGTGCTGCCAGCGAGCAGGAACGTGCGTTAAATCCATGACGATGCACTGATGTACCTGATATTTGTCACGTTTTTATACAGGTCGAGGTACGGACATTGATGTTTGACATTAAGCTGTTGGCACGTCGGGGTGAGCTTGAGGAAGCCTGAGGCGCCTGCTGGGGGTCATGCAGGCCGCCTTAGGCCAAAGGTCACAAAAGGTCACACAGGCCGCGATGCTAACTGCAGGAGGTGACACTGGCCGCAATGCTGCCCACTGGTGGCCGAACTTCAAGAACTTTAGAAGAGGTTCAAAATGGGCAGACCCTGAGTTTGCGCACGAAAACTCGTGACAGTCTGCGAACACTGACCCACTCTTTTCCCTGCGTTGTAACACGCTGCCTCGCGTCCGTCTTATCAGCCACAATTTTCTAGCCTGGTGTGACTGTCACGCCGCATCGTTGACATCTGGGCTCGGGCTCGACCCGCGTCCTGCAGCCTGTCCAAAATTTAGAATCAGTGTTCTCCATGTAATTTAACGAGGAAGGATGAAGAGAGCAAAAAGTGGTGATGCAATTTTGTGTGACACATCTGTTGGATCAAGCACGTTGGGTGTAAATACACAATAATGCTAAAGAGTACATCTTACTAAAGGGAATATTCCACGTTTGAAGATATTGAAGCAGCAGATATAGTGAGAATCATTATCGTCATCATCATCGCCACTTTTATCGTACTCATCTAGTATATTTCGCACCATGATGAAATCACCTCTTGGTATACGCTCTTGGTATACTAATTAACTCTTGGTGTACTTTAAAGTGGAACAGGTTTCCCAAGATAGCGCAGTTCCTCCATTTAGTAAATATGCTCCTCAATACGCCATTGTTTGATTGCGTCCTGGAACGTTTGTATGACGTGGAGGGGCCGCCAAACTGGCCATGTGAAATTACTACCCCAGCACTCACTTGAAGTGTTTCAATCTCCCAAGGGGTGGCCGGCGGTGACGCTGGAGGTGTGGCCGTGGCGGCGATGAGCCAAATGTCGTTATGTGCTCGTCTTTTGACCCTTTATTGTGCTGTTCTTGCATGTTTATCCGTGAGCTTAGGCTACGACGCTATTCTTAGGTTATTCGATTGCATGTCGTATCTCCGTAATGACTAGCATTCATGTCCAAGTTCTTGCATTATGGCCTACGAAACGTGGTTCGTGTATGGGACTGGCACAACCCGCACAACATTGGGAGTTCTTATCTGTGTTGTCAAAACGTTGCACTTAGCTTATTTCAGACCATGCCTAGAGCAAAGTGTACAGGCTGGATCCCCATGCTTCGAAAACGAAATAGGCTGTGGAGAGTACACCGAAAAGCAACTAGAATGATGGCTCAGATTGAAACTGGGAGTATTAGGATGGGGTTAAGGCCCTGGTGTTGTATTCACCTCAATATCGCAGACTTAGGGGGATCTGATAGAAGTATCCAAAGTTATTAAAGGAGAAAGGCCACGCAAATATACAAGGAGCACGGAAGATTAGGCAGAGACCTAGAGGCAACCAGGTTCAATTAGTAAAAGGTCGGCGTGGACCTATGACGAGGCGGATGCTATTTAGTCCAACAGCTGCAAGTTCTTAGAATGAACTGTCAAAGGAAATTGCATGAAGTCCCTATCTAGCAACATTTGCCAATCGTTTAGACGAGTTTTATCGGTCAAAGGATCTCATTTATAGCTAAATTCAGGCGGGTCATGTGGTAAGATGAGCATCGAGGATATGTGCGGAACCTGGGGTAGGCCATCATCGATGTGCCCTGGTGGCTCTTTGCTTGGTGTCTTTACGTTTTTATGTGTTTTTAATCACTTGACGTCCGTTATATATGCAAATCTTGCTCATGAATGCCAAATATAAACAACTTGAGGATTTTATTCTTCTTGGTCTTGAACATCACATGGCCAGTGGGGTGGCGTCAGTCAAACGACGTCTCTATGACATCATGCATGCCTGAATGGTCTTGAAATAGTCTGCACGAAATAGTATGTACATCTTCCCGGGCTTGTAGCTCAGAAACTAGAGGGTTTTAAGTCTAAAGAAGGGCAGGGTTGTGAAGTGCACAGAGTGATCTTCAAAATGGCTATTTCGGTTCAAAATCCAATACAAATGTGAAATACCCTCTGCACGTACTGATCCTGTTTGCAAGATGTACAGCCTGAAAACGGAAATATTGTACTTATTTCTGATTGCCATGTGGATAAGCACTGGCAATTCCTTTTGATAATCAGTTTACACCGTCATTACATATTATGATGACCTTTGCATTTTTTATTGACAGTTCCTTTCCATGGAGTTGCAGGCGTCCCTCTTTTAACAAAAAGTTCCGCTCTTTGCGCTGTAACAAGCACTTGAACCGTTGATTCTGGCATGGGCCTTGCAGAGCGTAAGCACACGGAAGAAATACATCACGACGACGTTCGATGAGTCACGGTATTACGGCCAAAAACGATGGGGAAAGTGGCACATTTGTCGTTTGAACGTGGACAAAGCTTCGAAACAAGTGGTGAAGCAGGGAAATAGCTACACGTACCCTCAAAATACGTCATTCTCCCCAAGTTCGGCCCATGCCTCTCTTATATTGGACTTCGTCAAGTTCTTAAGCCCCTCGCAAGCTGGGTTTGGGCGCTGGAGTCTATATTTGAAAAGAAACAGCGCCCTCTGCGTTGGGGATATGTTGATGTTGAGCAAGGCGCTCTTCAGAACTTGGCCTCAACATATTCCTAAGGAAAGAAACCCTCGAGTAGGCCCGAACGCTGGAAGGAACGCCTTGACTCGTCTCTGCTTTCCATATAACCTGTGTGAACAGGCCGTCGCGTCCATAAGGCATCCCGCAAAATCAGTTTTCTTAGCGACTGCCTTGTAGGGAACCTCGCTTCGCTAAAAGCGTGTAAAGCATCCTGTTTGCTCTCTCGATTTTGACTCAATGTAACCGAGAAAGGCCTTGGACTGCTTTGTTTCTCAGCAATATGAGTTCAAAGCCCTCACGCTGAGAATAACAGTACTTCAATGCTGGTTATACAACGTTGTAAGGCAAACACCGGCTGTATTTGTTGGCTTCCCAGTCGGCGTAGCCGAAAGGGCTGCCATTCAGCCAGCGAAACTCTTGGTAGGCGTGTATTGACAAGTGCCAAAGCCTGATGCAAAAGCAGGCAGCCATGCCAGAAGAGGGCCGTGCCCTCTGCGGGCCTGTGACGAACCGGGGCGCTGCAGCTACTCTTCGCAGGCATGTGTGTTTGTGTAAACCAGCCTAATGCACGGCCTGACCATTGGCAGATTAGGGTCTCTGTACATCATGACGAATATAAACGTCAAAACATGGTGCTGCAATAACGCGGAGCGACTTGTGTAACATGTCTCTGTGTTGCATAGCAAGCGAATTATCACTGGGTTTCTGGACGGTGATTAGCTTTACATTTACTTCGAGGGTAATTAGCATAATTGAGCCATCATTGTTACCAGGAGGGTAATTTTTGTAAATGATTGTGAAGCCGAGCTGAGGGACCAATGGCCACCCCCTCATTTTGGTCTCAATGGATGAAGCCCACTTTGTTTTGGCGATAGCGATTTCTATCGTACATTTTTTGTTATTTGAAAATAGTCCTGATTTAAGCAGCATAGCAGTCTCACTGGGATGGATCCAGAGGGAGCAGTGGAGGCACGTGCCCGTTCTGATCTGAAGGTAAAGGTGGCCTCTAGAGGCCGCCTTTAGGGCGCCGAAGGAACACTTTTGTGACGGCGATACGCCGCGGCACGTATTTTTGGTTGTAACGGCAGGGAACGCGCTAGTCACGAGGGCCTTCGCCATTCCCGATCTCCAGAGCTTTTTGTAAACCTCACAAACCGTTACGTGTCTTATGACCCAGCTGTGAAAAGTCAGTTGCATCGTTTATCCGTTCATCAGTTGCGTGTTGCGGTGGTGGCGGTGGGAGCAAAGCATTGCACGGCAGCATTGGATGTCATGGGCTCGAACGCTGTCATGGGCTCGAACGAGTTATACAGATGCTGTTATCATACATGGGCGTTTCATAGGCAGCTGATGGCCCTGCGGCGGCGTTCTCGAATGTACACAATTGAAGTACCCGCGCGGCACTAGGAGTTCTTTCCAGGTCATCGCATGGTGGCCAGCACACTAAAATCGGACTGTCCGCTGTGGGCAGTGCGTCGTATGTGGTGAAAAGAACACAAGGTCACGGCGGCCGAAGGGTGGTTTACATGGCTTGTCAATAGACATACCACCATGATGCATGATGTCATATGCACGTTGCCTTACACGCCGCGCAGGCCGAAACTATTTTGAATTGGTCACCGCACATTTGCAAAGCGCTGCTGCAGTCGGACTGCCAGGACTAAGCGAGAAACTGTCGTGGGGTCGATCGAATAACATTGATACGTACTCGGGCAAATGTGTTGTACTTACAGCTCAAGGAGGAGTGCTCAAAGTTGCACTTTTCAGAGGGGATTATCGCTATTCCTATTTTCCCCCGCCGTCGCATACTTGCCAACACGCTGCTTGCCGCCCGGCCGTACTTAGCAATGCGCCGCCAAGGTGCAATTTGAACAAAACGTCGGTATGTCTGCCGGTGAGCGATTTGTGTCGCCGGCAGATAATGCTCCCGCAGTACCATGGTGCGCACATAGTCGCTCCCGCCGCATACGACTAGCAGTATTGTTAACTTTACTACCGCATTTACAAATCGCCTACGCAGCCGGCCTGTCAGCGCTGAGTTGTGAGCTGCCAGCGATCAGCCGAATTAAATGGAAACATGCATCGAACTAGTGTGTTGGGCTGCCAGTCACATTCGTCATCAAACACATGCGGTCGTACCCTTCGATTCAATTTATCAAGTATATTTCCCGTGCCGCCATATGGTAGCTATGACGTCACGGGGCGGCCGCCGTAATCGGTGACGTTAAGTCGGAGGTTCGCCTGAACAAAAAGTTGGGCCAGTTAACATTGCCGGCTGGAAGTCGTCTTATTTTCAAATTGTGCGCGCATGGTCGACCTGCCACGCGCGACTAAAAGTACTTTAAGCTGAGCCACGTAGCTGGACCAAAAATCTTTGCAAATCGCCGCTGCGGCTGCTCCGCCAGGACTGAGCAGTAACTTGGTGACGAACTAAGTGGCGCTTGTATTACGCCACTTTCAAGCCCAAAGTTTTGCGGCCGTCTCTAAATTGCAAGTGACAGTACTTCTTGCGTGGGAGTGCGTTGAGGTTACGACGATATTTCTTTGTTTGCCGTTGTTTCGAGACCCAATACAATCAAAAAGCCATGTCGATGGACAAAAACTCCAACCTATTAGTAGCTACCAATCTTCTTTCAAATACCCAAATCCTGAGAATCACGTACCCCACTGATCGCCGTCGGTAGCTTGCGCAGGGGCTACACGCCAGACAAAACCTGGGGGTCACCTCATGATCCGAGCCTATAGGGCCGATCTCTAATAAGCCTTTACCAATCGATGGCCTTGGTCGATAGATTATCCCATTCAGAAGAGTGAGACTCTGAGCCAGGTGATAGGTCCCCATAGATGTCCCAAACCGGAAAACCAGTTGGCAGATAGCCCCGAATATCGAGCCCATGACGCAGGTTTCTCTCAGGTCTCTCTCTCTCTCTCTCTCTCTCTCTCTCTCTCTCTCCTCTCCTCTCTCTCTCTCTCTCTCTCTCTCTCTCTCTCTCTCTCTCTCTCTCTCTCTCCTCTCTCTCTCTCTCTCTCTCTCTCTCTCTCTCTCTCTCTCTCTCTCTCTCTCTCTCTCTCTCTCTCTCTCTCTCTCTCTCTCTCTCTCTCTCTCTCTCTCTCTCTCTCTCTCTCTCCTCTCTCTCTCTCTCTCTCTCTCTCTCTCTCCTCTCTCTCTCTCTCTCTCTCTCTCTCTCCTCTCTCTCTCTCTCTCTCTCTCCTCTCTCTCTCTCTCTCTCTCTCTCTCTCTCTCTCTCTCTCTCTCTCTCTCTCTCTCTCTCTCTCTCTCTCTCTCTCTCTCTCTCTCTCTCTCCTCTCTCTCTCTCCTCTCTCTCTCTCTCTCTCTCTCTCTCTCTCTCTCTCTCTCTCTCTCTCTCTCTCTCTCTCTCTCTCTCTCTCTCTCTCTCTCTCTCTCTCTCTCTCTCTCTGTCTATATATATGTATATATATAATATATATATATATATTATATATCTATATATATTATATATGTATGTATATATATATATAGATATATATAGATATATAGATATATATATATATATATAGATAGATAGATAGATAGATAGATAGATAGATAGATAGATAGATAGATAGATATATATATATATATATATATATATATATATATATATATATATATATATATATACCGCGCTTCGTCCATTATCTGTCTTTTCCAGAAGATGGTGATCTTAGCTGAGGCAAAATGTCACAAAAACTGTCTCAAATCCAAAAAATTATATTTGGAGACGCCTCCATGCTTCAAGCCTATTGAACCATGACCACGAAACCTTCACCATACCATGCGCCACGGTCGAAATCCCGTTCATTCAAGAACGTGGCGACCTTAAGTCAGGTCAAAGGTCACCGAAGAGGTCCAACACTGCTAAAATGTATTGCAGACAGCCTTTCGCTCCACGCCTGTCCGACCGGTCGTCACAAAACCTTCCCAAAAGATGCACTCTAGTCAATCACTTAACTTTTCGCAAAGATGGCTTTTGGCGAAGTCAAATATCATCACAAATACCTAAAACCGGAAAATTTATTTTGCAAACAATTTCGCACTCTGAGCCTATTGGTTGATCGTCCCGGAGCGTGATGTATTCCACAGAGCATTTTAATAGTGTTGGACGCTTTTGGTCGTCTTTGATATGACCAACGTTATTTTCCTCTGGAAAATATAGGACATTCACTATGGCGCATCGGCTGGACAGTTTTGTTAGTCATCGGTCCCATCTCATAGGTCCGCCCCGTTGGCTCAGTTGGTGACAGCGCCTGCCTTTTGATACGCCCATCCATGACGGGGTGAGTTTAGGTCGCTTTAGGCGCTCGCTATCTGCCCTTGACAGATATGACCTGTGGTTGGTGGCAGCGGCCGCGCTAAGTTCAGTTGACGTCAGAGGGCAGGACGGACCGTGCCGAACCATGTGGCACGTTAAACCTTTTACACAAAATTCTGCCGTTGAACCGGAATCGCGTGGTCGGATGGCAGGGACCGGGGTTCACACAACGAACGCTGCCTGGAGTGGGCCCTTATTCTTGCATCTATCCATTCAAAATATTCGGATTAATTCTTTAAAAAAGGCTTGAGGCATGGTGCTGTCCGCAACCTCATTTTTCCTACGTTGGTCATTTTGGAGACACTCAACCTAATCCCATGTATTTTCCTGTTGATAAAGGTTACGTTATCCGCCAGACGGCATCGATTTGTGAAGATTTCGGACAGCCCCATAGGCTCGTGAGCATAGTTTGCGGTCAAATTTAGCGCTGTTGTGCCTTTTTGGCCATTTCTGACCTGAGCAAAGACCACCAACTTACGGAAAAAAGTTAGTCATTAAGCCGCATCGGTTCGTCAATATGTTACGATGATCAGTTGCGTAAGCCTGGAGCCTGGGGATATGAATAGATTTTATCGGTCATTTAGTTCTCACCAGTAGTTTATTTGCATTAACCTTGAAAGTGCACCGTGCATTTTATAAGTCGAAAATGGCGCTGGCGAGAATAGGTGGGCCGGCGCGTCAATTAATTACGGCTGGTTTCAGACAAAATGTGCCGTCCAAGATATGGAACAGCACTCTGCTGGTGAAGTGCCCTGTCTGCATATGCCCGTCGGCGACGTTACAGGGTACTCGTAATCTTGTGACGGCGGTGAGAAGCATTGACTCCTTCGCCGCCGCGCAGAAGACAGGCATTTTGCAATGCTCATTGGGGGCTGCTGCTGTGAAACAGCCCGTGGTCGTGCCGAGGAGGAACGTCGTGAAATGGAGTATCCGCTCTGGTAAGAGGAAGACAGTGAAATCTGTGGTGAAAAGGTTCATGTACCTGAACTGGGCTGGCAGGGGCATCTGGATCCGGCCTAGAACAGCAAAGTTCAAACGTCACTGGAGGAAGTCTGCCCGCAGGAAAAGAAGACTGATCCAGCATGTGTTCACCAATGCAACACAGTCCAGAATGTTGGACAAGATGGCCACCAAGTTTTGGAGGAAGCAGTTCCACTTCATTGATGATCCCTACAGTGAATTTCACAAAAGGGATAATTTCCACTTGACAAGTCGGCCTCCAGTTGCACCTTAGGTGTGCAACCAGCCAGGATTTGCAGTCATGTTTGTTATGTGGCAAAGTGGAATATATGCATGAGAGTGGTTTGTGGCTGTTCAATGCACATGTTTGAGATCATTTTGTCAGCTGGGACACTGCCTGTAAACTGTGTCACCAAATCACACCAGCATCCATCTGAGCACACTATGTGCCAAAATGTCCTTTTCTGGTGTACATCTCACATTTCACTGGCATTTTGTTATTGGTGCATTAATGATGGCATGAGAAAACCAGAATGCTTTTGACACATGATCATGATTTCAGGCAACACCTGTTCAAATTCCTTGCACACATGGTGCATGGTGCCACACATGGTGCCAGGTACACCATCAATTGATTATGCATAAAAGTGTGTACTACTGCCTGCTGAAAATATATTTCACATCAAATCATCAATGCGAACTTCACACAGGGCTTGAATCATAGAGAAATGCTGCCCTGATAGACATACACCTGGGCAATGCAGCTAAATTTGAAACAGATGCTGATATAGGTATATTTGAATGACAGTCAAAACAAAGAGAACACTACATTTGAAAAGCATCATTCAACCTGCCACAATCACCTATGTTTAGCTCACACTTCAGCAACAATTTATCAGGTATCACTATAGCAACAGTCTGTCTCCCATATAGGACCAGCATGCCTCCAAGTGTTGGTGCCAGGCTCACGGGTTGCTGCTATGTTAAGGATAAAAGTGTTGTGTTATTTGAGAAGACACTGCTAGATATCTTACATAGATGCAGCATGCTTCCACAATTTAATCCACAGGGTCTTGCAAGGGATAATGAGAAGCAAAAGATGCCATCTTACTTCATGCGTGACAACTAGTGCATGTACAACAGTAACATGCCAGTCAGAACAACTTTCAGGTTGCAACTGACACATAGTGCTACTGCTAAGCATCTCCTTTGACGTGTACGGACGGAGCCTACACATACAAGAACACAAGCGTCGGAACAGGTTTCCATCCCCGAAGCAACGCGAAAGCTGACCGTAATTTTCCGCCACGAACAACACGTCAACATAAGGGCGTGGGCAAATCGAGCCAGGCGCGCGCACAGGCAGATACGCTCTGGGTGTCGCCGAGAATCCAGCTCGGCTGTGGCCACGCGCCGCCCAAACTATCTACATGCCACCCCTCCCCAGATGCGTTGCGCGCAGCTGCGACCCAGCGGCCGGCAACCCGTCTTCTGCCGGCGTGGGCCCCGGCGCGTGCTCCTCCCCCCCCCCCTGCCCCAGGGGCGCAGCTGGCGGCAGACCCCGCGCGGGGCAGCAGGCGACGCTCGCCGGCGCGGCCGCACCGCGACGCTCCGGCCGCTTCTCGGTCGGATCCTCAGAAGGCCGCCGGCAGCCCCGGCAGGACGACCAGCCGGGCGCCGATCGGCCGACGCCGGCTCAGTTGTTCTTCTTGTAGGCCGGCGGCGGCTCCTGGGCGCAGAGATCCACGTGAGATGACGAGAGGGGGACGACTGCCGTCGGTGTAAGGTCATGCCAGCTGCCCAAACACCGACAACCGCCACAGAACATTGACCACAGGTGGAGGTGACACTGACAGGTGAAATGGAGCCATTTTTTCCGTCAACATTACCGTGATGTAGCGTCAATATATATATATATATATATATATATATATATATATATATATATATATATTGATAACTAAGCTTTTTTAGCTAACTACCCAACTAGATCTCTCATTTCCACCACTGAACTATTTGCACCTCTTGTGGGCTAAGTTCACCATCTCCTGGCCTCAGCGTTCCAGGCCAGCGTCTCTGGGCCCGTCCGCGGGCGCGTGTATCACGCCATCCTCGCCACTGAACCGGGCCTTTGCCACTGTGACTTCCTCCGACTCGCTGTATCACACAATCCAAACTCTCCCGGATCCTACGATAGTCGCGAGCATTGTTTGAAGTCAGTAAAAGGAGAGGGGAATGACCTGAGTGGGCTTCGTATTGGGTTGCGTCCGGCTGGTCGCCGTCAGGGCCAGTGCCTTCCCGGCAGTGACGCTCGTTCTCGGGTTCTTCTTTGCCCTCCCATTCTGTCCAATGGCTCCGATTACGGAGCAGATATCGCCGATTTCCAGTGCGCCCATATTGCCGCCATATCCGCTTACTGGTCTGTGGCCGCTTAGTCCGATAGACACTAAACGCCAGTCTCATATTCCTTCCATAGTGTTCCCAAATAGGGTCAGTAATGGTAACAGCCAAATCTTCCGGCGGCCAAAATGTATCAAATGTTCCACTTGCAGCGAGTCGTTCAAAAGCACGCAAAGCGGTCAGATAGTGAGCCAACTATGGCTTCTGTTTTAAAAGAGTCACAGAATGAGTGGAACGTGCCACGGAAAACTTCATAACACTTTCAGAAAATTAACTCGAATGTGGGGCATTATGGTCCTATGTTAACTAAAAAGCCGCACGAAGCAAGGTCCTCTTACAACTTGCACTTGTTTTTTTGTGTCACCATCTGCAAGACATTTGTTTCAATGCAACTTCCTGAAACGAGTAATGAGTCATACTAACGCCACAGAAAACAGGTACGCTCAGATCTTGCAGATGGTGTCTTTAAGCTAGCATCTTTTCCCTACTCGAATATCTTGACACTGCCTCCTGTATGTCACGATCAGAGCCATTAACTCCGAAGGCCAGGTGCCGATAGTGCGGTGGTTAGCGCGTCTGCATTTACCATGAAGCCTCAACAGCGGAGTGCGTCGTAGAGCCCCAATGCCAACAAACTCCCGAGGCCCTTAGGAAACTGCACCGCAATTGGAACGGTGCAGGCAAATGTGCTCAGCTGGTCCACAAAAGCTTGCAAGTGAGCTGAGCGAGCAGCGTTTCCATCAACACAACAATTGTTATAAATTCCAGCTCACATAAGTATGGCAGTAGCCTGCCTGATCGCATATACACCTCGTCCGTCTAATCTTGCGAGAATCTGCCCGATCAGGATCTGCCCACTCGCGGCCAAGCACATAACAGCGTCGACATAGTTAACGTGCTAACGAAATCACGAGAATCAATCGGTATCCCGGGCAACAGCAATACAAACGCCCCCATTTTGTAACGCCTGGAGCTCCGCCGTCCCACTGGTGCTCACGTTATACGGAGGGTATCCCGGGTTCTGCGGCTGCTGCTGCTGGGGGTACCCGTAATACTGCTGCGGCGGGTAACCCTGCTGCGGCGGGTAGCCCTGCTGCGGCGGGTAACCCGAGTAGTGCGGCTGCGGCGGCGCATAGGCGGTGCCGGGGTTGTTGGGCGCGTAGAAGCCGAGCGGAGGCGGGGCGGAGGCGCCCGGCCCGGCGGCGCCGTTCTGCGCCGGGGGGCCCGGGTAGCCGGCCACGCCGGGGTACGGCGGGGGTGCGTCCTGCACAAACACCGAGTCGGCTGCCGGGGAGAGGTCAGCTGGGTCAGCCGGAGGGTGCCAGGTCTGCCAGAGGGTCCAGAGGTCGGCGGTAAGATAATACGGTCAGCCGGGGGCGGAGGTCAGCGGGCAGGTGCAGAGGTCCGCAGGAATGTGCAAAGTTTAGCGGGAAGGTGCAGAGGCCAGCGGAAACATGCACAGATCAGCCGGAGGGTGTAGAGGTGGGCCTGAGGGTGCAGAGGTCAGCGGAAAGGTGCACGGGTCAGCCAGAGGGTGCAGAGGTCATCGGAACGGTGCAGAGGTCAGCCGGGAGGTGCGGAGGTCAGCGGGTGTGTGATCAGAGGGAGGTTGCATGGGCGATGGGATGTGTATAGCGGCGAGGTAGGTGAGTGAGAAGGAGGTAGGTGAGGTAGGTGAGTGAGGAGGTTTCGAGGCCGTCGGGTAGGCAGGAGTGTACAGAGATCAGCCACGCCCAGGAAAGGATACAGCGGAGAGAAGGTGTCAAAGAAGAGCACGTTAAGTAGATAGGAAGACATGGCTGATAAATGGAGGAGCAGCTGGGTTACAGGCCGGCTTCAGCGGACGAGTCCGGTCAGTTGGAGCGGGCAGAGGTCCGGGAAGACCGTCTTTCGGGGCGGGGTGGGTTCAGTGAATTAATCACAGTTACTGACGGTGGTGAGCCGCTCAGATACCCAAGTTACGACAACCGACTGAATGCTAACAGGCAAGCTAGGGCCATGAGCCGCATATAGCACTCGATAACGAAAGTAACGCTGTGAGTACGTGAATTCAAGAACAGCCACAATCAGGACAAACTTACTGGAGGATTCAAGCCAGCAACGTGAGTGGTACGCTTGACATCGCGAGTTCCATGCATCGCCTTGCTGATCACACACGGTCAAGTGGCATACCCCCGGGCGGGGTGCTGACACCGCGCTCCCGGCCGCCGGCGCCCCGCGTCCCCGGGCCGCGCGGCCGGGCGCGGGCCGCCCCGTCGCCCTCACCCGGCGGCTGGTTGGGGAAGGTCGCGTACGGCGGCACCCAGCCGTAGAAGCCCTGCTGCGGCGGCGAGTAGGCCGGCGGCGGCGCCGGGTACACGTTGCCCTGGTGCGGGGTGTAGGGCGGCGGCGCGAAGCCTTGCGCCGCGTGCCGGCCCGCTGACGGCAGGGGGAGGGCGGAAGTCAGCGGAGGTCAGCGGACGGGTGCGGGCAGTGAGGGTCAGCGGAGGTCAACGAAGGTCAGCGGAGGGTGCGGGCAGCGGAGGTCAGCGGAGGGGGCGGCGGGAGGCGGAGGCGGAGGCGGGCGCCGCCGCCGCACGCGATGGTCATGGTGGTTGGCCACGGCTGGCTACGGTGGATGGCTTTCGACGAATGTGCGATATCACGGAACTGGCTTACTACGCTTATCACAAAGAAGTCTCAAACAGCTTGGACCTGCTCGACATGAAACACCTGAAAACGAAACGTCACGTTAATGCATGGGGCGCTTGCAGGTACTCAATGAAGCATCGAAAAGGTCGTGATGTGCCTCAAATGGGGCTTCAAAGCACATTAATCGAAACGCAGCCGGTGACTTACAATTCGCCATCGCACTTAAACAAGCGGGCACCGATGCACAGCTGGTCTGACCTGGCACAGGCGGGCCGCGGGCCATCGGTTCGGGACAGCAACACGCTGGGGGGAACAGGTGACCATCCGTTCTACCCCCCCCCCCCCCCCCCCCCGGCACACAACCGTACAGAAACGAAACAAGCCGGACGCCCGCGGCCCGAGCCACGCCGACCCAGTCCCAAAAACGCGGAAATCACCCAGCCCGTCCGAACGTGTCACGCTGCAAAAGCCGCAGTTAGCACTGTTTACCTCCTAGCCAAGCACCACCCGTGGTATCGCCTGTCGGACCTTACGCCGCTTCGGGGCAGCTCGCGCAGCCTGTGCGAACTAACTCAGTTTCGCAGCCGCTAGCATCGCCTGTCCGAACTGACCCAGTTTAGCAGCCGCTAGCATCGCCTGTCCGAACTCGACGCATCCGCTAGCATTGTCTGCCCGAACTGACCCAGCTCCGCATCCGCTAGATCGCCTGTCCGATCTGACCCAGTTTTGCAGCCGCTAGCATCGCCTGTCCGAAATGACCCAGTTTCGCATCCGCTAGCATCGCCTGTCCGAAGTGACCCAGTTTCGCGCCGCTAGCATTGCCTGTCCAAACTGACCCAATTTTGCAGACGCTAGCAATGCCTGTCCGAACTGACCCAGTTTTGCAGCCGCCAGCATCGCCTGTCCGAACTCGACGCAGCTGCTAGCATTGTCTGCCCGAGCTGACCCAGTTTCGCATCCGCTAGCATCGTCTGTCCAAACTGACCCAATTTTGCAGACGCTAGCAATGCCTGTCCGAACTGACCCAGTTTTGCAGCCGCCAGCATCGCCTGTCCGAACTCGATGCATCCGCCATGTTTGAACGTCAGCTTGAAGCGCGCCTCGTCCGTGAAGCCGCCGCCAGGCTGCGCGCGCACCTTGCCCTTGATGTAGTTGGCGCCGAACAGCGGCTGTTCCAGCTCCACCTGTCGCCGGCGTAACCACCCAGAGGGTTCAATGATTAATAGGGTATGACTGAAGCATTCATAAACGGGTGCAAGGTGACGGTCATGAGTGAGTTTATGAACGGGACAAGGCATTCCAAGACAGATTCCCAGACCAGGCATGTTTTTAAAAAGCAAAAAATACAGTGATGCCTTACTACAAAAGTACCTGCCACTCAAGCAGCACTTCCTTTTACTGCGCGGCCCCGGACAAGTGCTCTGCAGATAGCGAACTCCTGGCATAGACCAGCCCCCTTCCAGTCCATTGCACTTGCCTGTTGCAGCGTGCAGAAGGGGAAGCTGAAGGAGACACACTTGTCGCCCTTCTTGTCGTTGATGAAGATCATGCGGTGGGTGGTGAGATAGATGCGACCCTTCTTGTCGCCATGCATCTCCCGGTTGTCTCGCACGTCGTCAAAATCCACCACCACGTTCTCACAGAAGAGGATGATGCTGTTCGGGCGGACCGGGTCAGACGCTGCCACGAGCTGTTACGGTCGCGATACACGCCTTGGGAGGAGGCAGCACCTCCGGCAATATTGCACCACCAGAGTAAGTTCTGATCCTGTC